AAAAAAAAAAAAACAGCTAATGGATCCGTCACTACACTGTTGAGTAATTACTTATTTAAGCCCTCTCCCCTGACATGATGGTGAGCTGCTTAAAGAGTTCTCTCCCTAGAACTCTTTAGTTCTGTGTATCTTTTCCAAGGTCATGTCTGCATATCACAGATACTCAGTACCTGGCTACAGAAAAAATGCATGATGTTCACAAGGCCTCAATCGTAGAACAAGAAGGGTGAAATAAATGGTCTAAATTCCTTTCAGTTACAAAATTACAGTTCTATGATTACAAGTTAAAGTTACTGTAATTCCAACTGCTAAGTGAAATATTTGCATGGTTTAACTAAAAGTAGAAAGATTTTAAGTTTTTGCTGTTTATATCTAACCAATAAAATCATTAAGATCAAAGAGTACCTCTGAATGATAGTCCGCTTGCGGTAAAATTGATGATTCCTGGCTTTGTTTGGCAAGAAGAGAAAGAATTGCATCTGCAGGAACCCTTTTATGGGGCACCCTGATCACTTGTCCTTCACTGGGAGAATCATCTTCCTAAATGACACAAAGACGATCAATACAACTAAACATCTACAACAATTACATTGTTCTCAATTCACGATTGGTGAAAAGTCAACAGTCATCAAATGTTATCAGCATTTTTTGTAAAGAAAAATAGCTAATTCCATCTAGGTTTCATTTTCATTTCATAAAACCTCTTTACATTTGGCTCAACTATAAACAACTATATGAGTAATTTGGTAACATTTCAAATGAAGATTTATTATAAAAACATAAAATTGGGGGTGGTGCCTGTGGCTCAAAGGGGTAGGGCGCCGGCCCCATATGCCAGAGGTGGCGGGTTCAAACCCAGCCCCAGCCAAAAACTGCAGGAAAAAAACCCCCCACAAAATTAGGCCAGGTGTGGTAGCTCATACCTGTCATCCTAGCACTCTAGGAGACCAAGGTGAGAGGAATGCTTGAGGTCAAGAATTGAGGAACAAACTGCACAAGAATGAGACAATGTCTCCACAAAAAATAGAAAAATTAGCTGGGTATAGGCACCTGTAGTCCCAGGTAGTCAGGAGGCTGAGGCAGGAGGATCACTTGAGCCCAGGAGTCTGAGGTTGCTGTGAGCTAGGGTGATACCATAGCACTCTAGCCTGTGTGACAGAGTGAGACTGTCTCAAAAAAAAAAAAGGCAAAAAATATAAAATCATATTCTCTAACTCATGCAATTGAGTTGCAAAGATTCATAATGTTTCACATCGTGTCATCAAGTCTTTGGCACTCACAGTTCCTGCTTCACATTCATTCAGTGACAGAGCAATGCCACAGCACAGCACTGAGGGCAAAGCCTGGTGGGGATGCTGACACTGCGATCTAGACCACAGGCTAAAAGGGAAAACTGCAGAGATGCGCTAAGGCATCCACAGAGGCTCAATGTGCACATCTGGCTTACTGGCAAGGAGCAGGTCCTGAAAACCCTCCCTCGGACACCTTAATTAGGCTTCTTTGTGCCTCAAAACAGACCTATTCCCAACAAGGAGAAACACTATGGGCAGCTGAGTCAGAGAAACTGGATTCTCTTGCAAATACAGATTTAATGAATTCAAATCTAATTAAATTCATTAGCAGTATCTACTTTAAGTCCATTAGAAGTATTTTAAATTATTTTATTTTTAATGAAATAGAGTTTATTAACTTAAGATCATAAGCCCATCTCCTACAGCTACATGTAGACAAATGTCTACTTGATACAGGATTTCAAGTTATTCTGGGTTTTTCCAGATTTAACTTTTGCATTTATTATGAATTTGTAGCATATCTACAAATCTACATATCTTCTATGATTGAAGCATAGTAAAAAATACCAAAATTAGATTTAGTTTCAAATGTGAAAAAAGAAAGAACTTGTGATTTAGTCCTGGTTCAGCTTAGCTATTTAGTTTAAAGAAACTTAAACATGCTTTGGCACCTGATAAATTTCCAAGAATAGATAAAAATGCTATACTAGCGTATTAACTAGGCCCAATGTCAGTAAAGCGCTTCTCTGAAAACAAACACCTGTCATTTATGCCTTCTCTCCATATTATTTCATGAAAATAATAATTGTACTTTCTTCACAATCTACTCAACCAATTGCTTGCAATGAATAATCACTGTTTAAAAATGGTTTCATTAAAATTTTATCAAAAACTCCTTAATGAAATATTTTCATTCTTCTACGTGAAATAACATTTTTTAAAGAAACGGCAAAATATATGGATAAATGTAGGTAATAGTTGAATATAATTACCTTCCCTTATATTGTTTGAAAATATATAAAAAGTAAACATTTCTATTCCTTAACAGTTTTTTATTTTTAAATGCCGATTTTTCCTTCCAAACAGCTAGATAATAGCTGGACAGCTAGTATCCCTGGATCTCATTTTTCATTCTTTTTAAGTCATTGAATTTAATCATTTATTAGTACAAAAAACTCTAATCATGGTTAGGAAAAAATGACAAATGTATTATAAGAAATTTGGTTTAAATGGCTAAGATCCTGCTTAAGGTATCATAAAGACAACAAATCTGGGTGACAACTTTCACTGAGCTAGATTTCATTACTAATTACATTAAATGTGTTTTTTTCAACTGTTGCCACACAAGTTAATTATGATCCTAAGATTATATAATGAACTGTGTAAGAAACATTCAATTCTTTCATAATATTATACTAAATTTTATATTCATAACTCAAATAGCTGAGAAAAAACTGATCCATGGCAACAAGTTCACCAAGGCGTTGTTCCTGTCAGAATTCAGGGTTGGAATCAATTACTCCTTACCATTTCAAGAACATCATGCAGAGTGCTGGATAAACTGTCATTTAGGTTCGTTAGATACAGTCCTCCATCTCCTAAAACTAGAAATCATAATGTAAAAATTTAGGAAAAAGGAGAAATATAAACTTAGTGAGTAATCTGACCATAAAGCCATGGAACACCATATTTAAATTCACGCAGCAGTGGGAATACCGGCAACGTCCATAAACAAGTATTTCACAAGCTACTCAACCTCAACAGGTTTTTGGAAGGTGAGATTTATAACAAAGATGAGATTTTTGTTTCAACTATATATACTGTTAATGCAATTAAAAACAGATAAAAATTAAAGGCTAAAAACTTTTCCAGAGAGTATGTTGGCTGCGTACTGGTATTCTGAAGTGGACTCAGCAATGCCTCTTCTAGGAGTGTATTCTGAGGAAGTTATTGGATAAGTGCACAGAAGACACATATGCAAGGACGGTCACTAGAGAGCCAGTCTGGGAACACTGAAAACAATCTAAACGCCTCCACCAAGGCACTGTTTAAATAGACGACACAGCCATCAGAGACACTGTGGGAGATCCATACGTACTGATACTGAAAGATGTCCATGACATATTACTAAGTAAAAAGTTTAGGTTTTAAAACAATATGTACAGTATGGTTCTATTTTTAAAGGTAAACACACATGCACATGTATTTAGATGTTGAAGTATGCATAAACAAAAAAAAGACTGGAAGAACATGTCTGAAACTACCAAGAATGGTATTATTTCTGGAAGGTAGGATTATAAAGGAAATCTTACCTTTGGAAATTAAGATCCAGTAAAGGTAAGTAAACTGCAGAGCTCCTCATCTTTCTACTTTGCCATGTTAAATTTTGAAAATTAAGTAAAAATACTTTAAACAGAAAAGTATTATTTAAGGAATTATCATAGCTAATCAGTGAAAGCAATTAATACAAATTAACTTACCCTTGGGAGCCAATTTTTGACCACAGCTAAATAGAATCTCTCCTTCGGAGATGGGTCTATCTAAAGTTTCTGTTTCGGTGATGGTGACACTCAAGGTGCTTTCCAGTGTTGATGAGTCAGAACTTGGCATCTGGAGGGAGGAAGGGACCTTGGGGGCAGCAGGAGATGGTGCAAAGGGAGCCGGCTCTGGAGGTACAGGCTGAGCAGGGAGACCCATGGCACTGTCAGGCTCTTCATCCTGAGCCACAGACATCACGCTAAAAAGATGAAGAATGTTTTGAACTTATTCAGTCACTATAATAATTTTGATATAAAAAACAGATTCAAAGGTACTATGTCTCTTTAGCAAATTATTTCTATAATCTGTATTAATTAATTAATAAGATGTTTTAAAAATTGTTTTTATGCTTTTATCGCAGGCCATCTTGAAAGCTCTTCTAGCCATCAAGTAAATCTACATGGGGAGAAAGAGTGAGATAAAAGTTAACTCATCATGGTAAAGGATCCACAATGAAGAGAAAGTGTTTTCTACTTTACTAACAATATGATACATTTCTTTATTTTCATGTTTTAAACCTCTTAAGGTGAAGGTATAAATAAATTTGATAAATTTTTTTAAAATTTTAAACATATACAATTTCTTTTTTCTTTTTTTTGAGACAGAGTCTCGAGCTGTTGCCCTGAGTAGTGTGCTATGGCATCACAGCTCCCAGCAACCTCCAATCCGGGCTCAAGCAATCCTCTTGCCTCAGTTTTTCCACTTTTAATAGAGATTGGGGGCGGGGGTCTCCAGGCTGGTCTCGAACTTCTGAGCTCAAGCAATCTACCCACCTCGGCCTCCCAAAGTGCTGGGATTACAGGCATCGTGCTTGGCCTACAATTTCTTTTTTTCCCCAAAGTATAAAGTGGTGTTCACTGAGTCATGGGAGGGAAAGGTGAGTGGGCTATGCAGTCACTGGGAATGTGCTCCCACTCACATGGCTGTCGGGGGAAGGCGCTCTTCAGGGAGGAGGTCAGGGTTCTCTTCTTCCAGCGGCAGGTCTCCCTCACCCCACGGCTTGGGAAGCTCTGGGCTCGACACCTTCAATTTATCAATGGAAATTTCTGACAAAGTTGGGGTAAGAGGTGCTGCTGGGGGTGGTGTTGTAGTAGGGGTAACTGCTGGAGTAGTGATAAGCATGACAGTAGGCATATCATTTCCTATTTTTTTTTAGAAAGACAGAAAAAGGTAAAAGTCAGTAAACAACTCCAAAGAAAGGTAAGATATATTGCTCCAGATATCCCACAATATTTTGGCATATAAATAATGGCAATGATAATGACAATAACAACAACGATGGTGGTAGTCATTAATGGGAAAATTCCTAAACTAATTTAAGAATTAAAAAAACTTGAAAAGACATCATTTTTAACACTATATACATATTTTTTAAATGAAGTTGAATATTTTATTATTTTGCTGCAAAGTTGTTGCTCACTGTATAAAAACAGCACCAGCAAATATAGTGTATTACAAAATTAAGATAATATCATTGTATAAACAAGAAGAACTTCTTCAATCCCAGTTAATTCCAATGGAAAGATTAAATATTTCAACTCAAATCCTGGTATGGATGTAAAGCAAGTTACAGTATTATATAAGGCTTAAGATAACAAGGTTATCCTTTCATTACATAATTTTTATAACTAGTTTTTACCATGGATAATTTTGTGAATTCTGAATACTAGAGGCTAGTGTAAAAAATCACAGGATATTTTGAGAAAGATGCATATTTGTTTATCTACAACCATTAGAAAGTTAAGGACTATATTCTTTCATTAGCAGTGTTGAGAGTAGTTGCTATTTTAAGTCACGTGTCCACCACTAATTAAAGACAACTATGCTGGATTATTTCACACTAGTTTATTAGGAGTTCCACTTTCACTCCTCAATAGATTTTGCATATTTCTCATGCTTCTTCACTCATTAGTTCATCTAGTTCTGAAAGGTTACTCAGGGTCATCTTGATCAGCCAACCATCTTCATAACAAGATTTGTTGACAAGTCCTGGATTTTCTGTCAGAGCTTCATTAATTTCAGTTACTTCTCCTGATAAAGGAGAATAGAGTTCCCTAGCAGCTTTCACGCTTTCCAAAGCACCAAACTCATCTTGTTTGTTTAATTTTGTCCCAACTTCAGGTAGACTACAGTAAACAACATCTCCCAAAACTTCCTGTGCAAAATTGCTGACCCCCACTGTCCCAACACCATTTTCTTCTGTCACCCATTCCTGTTTCTCTGTGAATTTACGCACTGCGAGCACAGCAGGTCTCACGCAGAACGTCTGGATGGCCCGGCTCCCAGCCGCCAGGGCCATGGGCAGGGCACAGTGAGCGCAGAGGCCGAGTGCCACAGCCGGCAGGGTCCGGGCCACCCGCAGCACCATGTCCACAGGGGCACTGTGGGTCACTGTGAGGTGCTTCCCATATACATATTTAAAGAGGTCTAAGCATCTGTTAGATTTTGTACTCTAGAATCTGCAATGAATACCTCAGTTTCTTTGCAAGAAAAAATGATTTCTAAAACCTAGTAAGTATTCACTATTTTATATATATATATATATATGAATCTACAAAGCATCTTATAAAACAAATCATAAAATCTTATTTAGTAGTTGCTAAAACCAAAACTGAGTTATAGAAATAAGGTTTCTACCTTTTTCAGCAAATATTTCATTTGCATGAAGAGCCACATTATGATCTGAATCACAGGGAGAAGAATCTGGAGTTTTTACCAACACATACTCTTGAGGAGGTGATGAAGGTGAGTGAGGCGGTGTAGGCTGTGGGGTAGCCACCGGGGTACACACTCTTGCCTAACATAAATTAATAAAACAAGAAAAATTGTGCTTATAATCACCCAAGGAAAAGTAATCTGAAATCATAATAATGAGCTCATTCACAGACTACACTGAATTTAAACGGATGGGGGGAAACGAAGCCTTGGGACCCCTGCTCTTAGACATGAGCTGCTAGCCTATGACTGGCCTACGAAAGCCTCAGGCAACTGAAGCAACGCTGCCTCTGATGCAGCCCCAGAGAAATCTAGATCTAAGGCACCCTCTTTTGAGATAGACAGGAAGACTACACAGATAAGACTGAAGACGAAACCCAACTGCAAACCTGAAGCACAGACATATAATGGAAAAGAAACATTTCACCTGTCTGACAAGACATCGAACATCAGCCATCATTAGCACAAAAAACAGAGCATGTAAAAAGCATAGGAGGATTAGGAAAAATGAGTAGTGGGCAGAGATGAAGATGATAGAGAGATGGAAACTACAGGTGAGGGAGTAAGTGAATAATCTGATATTAATCCATTGAACAGGTAATCACTCACGTGGTTCAAAATTCATGAGGTACAAAAGCATGAAAGTGAAAATTAAGTCTCCTGGCTGGGCGCCTGTAGCACAGTGGTTACAGCACCAGCTACATGCACCAAGGGTGGTGGGTTCGAACCCAGCCCAGGCCTGCTAAACAACAATGACAATTAAAACAAAAAAACAGCCAGGTGCTGTGGTGGGCACCTGTAGCCCCAGCTACTTGTGAGGCTGAGGCAAGAGAATCACTTAAGCCCAAGAGTTTGAGGTTGCTGTGAGCTGTGACACCACAACACTCTACCAACGGTGACATAGTGAGACTCTGTCTCAAAAAAGAAAAAAGAAATTAAGTCTCTTCTCCTCTCTACCTAGTTTGCTTCCTAAGAGTTACCAAATAATGCTGACTTAAGTCATTTCATATGCACATAGAATTATCTATGGAATAAATCCCCAGAAGTTAAGATTGCTCTATTAAGTGGCTAATTGCTTTTTATTTTTGAGACAACCTCACATTTGATCAGCCTAGAGTGCTGTGGCATCAGCCTAGCTCACAGCAACCTCAAACTCTTGGGCTCAAGTGATCCTCCGGCCTCAGCCTCCCAAGTACCTTGGACTACTGGCAGGCCACCCAGCTAACTTCTCTACTTTTAGTAGAGACAGGCTCTTGCCACTAGATTAAACCTATTTCATAGAACATCTCATTAATTTTCCATAACACCTTACATGATGTTAGCTAAGACACAGCATCATAAAGATGTCAATCATTTCCAAATGAAATAAATATTTAGATTAAGTCCCATAAAATCCCAACAAAAATGTTTTATGGAATGTAAAAACTAATTTTATTTATTCATTTCTTTTTGGGACAGTCTCATTTTGTCACTGAGACTAGAATGTAGTGGTGTGGTCATAGCTTCCTCCAGCCTCTAACTCCAGAGTTCAGGAGATCTGTCTGCCTTACAGGCTCATGTCCCTATCCAGTTATCTTTTTTTTTTTTTTTAGAGACTGAGTCTTGCCTGCTGTCCAGGCTGGCTTCAAGTAATCTTCTTGCTTACTTCTCCCTAAAAGATTATAGGCATTAACCACCACACTCAGCCAAAAAGATGTTTTTTAAGTTTATGGCTATTTATATGTGCATATATATATATATATATGTATACACACACACACATATATAAGGTGGCAATAAAGTTCGTGCTCAACTTGTATATTTGAGATATCAAAAAGCCAAGAAAAGCCATGACAGTTCTGAAGATAAGGAATAGTAAGTTGGGGAAGGGGGAGGTTGGGAGGGCTTGCTAAGTATTCAGTAAGTAGAATTTGGTAAAGCCATGGTCATTAAAACTCCAAGTATTATATCTCTATTTATAAATAAAACTAAAGTAACAGAGCTTGGGGTTCAAACTCAGGCCTTACCAACTCCGAAGCCCAAGCCTGTTTACAAAGCCTTTCCATGTTTTCTCTTTCAGTCACCATCATGAAAATGTAGGATGTGGGCGGAAAACACATCAAAGTAATTGCTCTCCAAAAAACCATGATTCTGATCATATCTGTACTGCAGACATTCCCAGTGAGCTAATAAAGCACAGATCAAAACTGTGTATAAAACCTCCAGCACAGGCAGCGCCTGTGGCTCAGAGAGTAGGGCGCTGGCCCCATATACTGAGGGTGGCGGGTTCAAACCTGGCCCCAGCCAAACTGCAACAAAAAATAGCTGGGCGTGTGGCAGGCACCTGTAGTCCCAGCTACTCGGGAGACTAAGGCAGGAGAATCGCCTAAACCCAGGAGTTGGAGGTTGCTGTGAG